AAAGTTATGTTACAATAACGTGCCACTTCGTTTCACCGAATTTTGAACTACACTCTGCTGTGCTAAGTACTGAAAAATTAATTGACGAATCAAATCACTCGGCTGAGAACATTGCTAGCACACTACGAGCTGTGTTATCAAAATGGGGCGTATTTCATAAAGTTGTTGCGTTTGTAACCAACAATGCAGCCTCAATGGTAAAAGCATGTGAGTTGCTAGAAAAGCGTACCCGTACTTTAAATCTGGTGGTGCAAGACGCGCTTAAGCAATGCTATGTATTGAATGTACTCACAAAGTGCAAGCGCATTGTAACCTACTTTAAAAGCAGCACAATTGCATATGCAAAATTTAAAGCAGCTCAAGGTAATGAGCAGCAGTATAGTCTTGTACAGGAAGTTGTAACGCGTTGGAATAGTGCCTATAATATGATAAATAGGATTTTAATAACAAAAGACGCCATTGCTTCAGTTTTATTACGTACACCGAAAGCCCCTCCGCCGCTTACGGCAGACGAAATGGAGCTCTTGCAAGATCTTTGCAGTTTGCTTGCGCCATTTAATGATGCCTCAGTGCAAGTATCAGCAAACACTACAGTAACGATTTCGCTCATTATACCCATGGTCGTTGGCCTGTACTCAAACATGGCAGAAGCTAAAAGCAAAATGAAAATGAAGGAAGGTGTTCAAACCTGCGCATTCTTAATGGAAACGTTACAGCGCCGACTATTTGCATATGAAACGAGAACTGTAACAAGACTTGGTACTCTTCTTGATCCACGGTTCAAGAAAGAGGGATTTCGTGTAGCGCAAAATGTTGAGCAGGGAATGAAAGCCCTGGAAAATTAATTGGTTTCGATACAAGCAAACCGCTCAAGATTCAATGATGCAGCATCAAATGAAGTTGATACTAAAGTGCAGCCGCTGTTCAGTTTTATGAAAGAAAAACTAGCGAGTAAGGTGAAGACGTCACGGGTGGACGCGATTATTTTATTGAGGCAATATAGCGAAAAACCGAATTTGCCGCAATCAATGAATCCGCTTCAATATTGGAAGGTAATTGCAGCTTAAATTGCATTACAAAATATATACAATGTTACAATATACATTTGGTTTTATTTAGAACAATGCTACAGATATGGAGTTGATGCAAACGGGAGCAAAACGCTATTTGTGTGTCCCAGTAACTTCAACGGAGTCGGAGCGGATGTTCATCAAGGCTGGACAAATTATATCTGAAAGACGTACAAATATTAAACCACTGCTACTGTTCCTTCGCAAAAACGAATGGTTATTGTGATTTTTAAAATATGCAATTTTTTGTTAAATAGTTATAACCATTGAACTGATCTTCATAAAACAAACCTAGCCTTAAATTTGTGAAATATTTTTCGTGTTTGAAACATTGATTATTTTATGTTTTATAACAAAAATGGATTTCTTGTGATATGTATACATACATAATTAAACAAGTTTAAAACTAAGTTTCTTTATGAAATAATAAAAATATGTTTTCGAGTTTTTGAAAATATTGTGTTTGTAAATTTTTTTGGGTATTTATTAGGTACTTTTCACTTATGGAAATAAAAGAAAAAATGCTTAATTAGTCGTGGCGTTATAGATTCATTAAAAGCAGGGCCAATAACATAAATCATCGAACAAACAAACAAAATATGCTTAATAAATAATAAAAAAATTTCGATAGTTTTCGATAGTATCGATAGTGGAGCTAAACTATCGCACACTATCGAGTGGCCCCACTATCGATAGTTTGACAGCTCTAGTTAATATACCCTTGTGCAGAAGTGCGCTCGGGTATAAAAATGCGTGTAATTTTCGTTACGAAATTGGTATCATAAATTTTGTGTTCCTAGTTCAGCTTTCATCACTCGAAAATTTAACCTCAAAGAGGTGTTTTATTTGATATAAGGTATCGTTGGAAAGGTATTGACCTATAGAATAACTCTAAATATGTTGGGTGTACCCACATACTCCCTTAAAAGGTTTTTTGTTTCGCAACACCTTAGCCTAATTTTCAAGAATTCGGATAATCGTTTATGATGCTTGAATACCTTTTCTGGACACACTCTGCAAGACCTTTCCAACGATTCCTCGAACATGTCGATTGGACGTCTGGATAAAACTTCCAAATCTCGTGTGTATATAATGTGACCAACCGTACTTCTTTCGGAAGTACAGTACTTCTTTTTTCGCTTTTGTACTTCGTACTTCGAAGTACAGTCAAATGTACTTCTTTGCGATATTTTGTACTTCAGGAGGGAGATTCTGTAACCAGTTAGCGACAACTTTCGGATCGCTAGGATATAAATGGTTTTGCGTCAAAAAGTACGATAACGATTGCAAAATTGTCGCTAACTGGTTACAGAATCTCTTCCCAGGTCCTGTACGTCTCCGATCTTTAGGACGATCGTCACACGGCCTGGGCGATAAATTCGTTCAAACCATTAAAGTCGACGGGACCGATGGCATCATACCTGCGAACCTGCAAAAGGCTCTGAAGGTGTCGTGCAATTGGTTTGATCCTATTTATGCGAACTGCGTGAGGACCGGGTACATCCCCAAGGTTTGGAGAGTAGTCAGCTTTGCGTTAATCCCAAAGGCCGAAAAAGGCTCTCATGTTTCCCCTAGGGAGTTTAGGCCTATCAGACTCTTCGTTTTTGCTAAAAACGCTAGAGAGACTGAAAGACCTGTACATAAGAAATGCGATTCCTGGTGACTCTTTCAAGAGCTCAATAATCTTATTGCAAGAAAAGGTCGGTAAATACCGACACACATTGCTAAAGTGCTCAGAGGAAGCCTTCACGCATGAAGATTATGCTGTAGGGGCCTTCGATATCGAAGGAGCCTTTAACAATGTCACTCCAGAGGCAATAGTCAAGAATATTCATAATCTAGGGGTTGAAACCAACCTAATAAGCTTATTTCTTGACAGAACTGTCGCGGCGGAGTGGGGGAGCATCTGCACTCAGTGCAGAGCCAACAGGACCACTCCACAAGGTAGTATTCTCTCTCCCCTACTCTGGATTGCGGTTGTAAACGACCTTCTAGAGGAACTGGAAAAAGTAGGCTGTCGGGTGATCGCCTATGTAGATGATGTAGAACTTTGGTTAAGGAACGATTTCTATACACCCTTTTTGATCTGGCTCAAGGTTCCTGAACCAGGTAACAAGGAGGGCAATCAACGGCGGCTGTAGTAGAAGCCTAACATTGAGGAAAGGGTAGGAAAGGCGTCGGTTGCCTTGTACCGCTGTAAGGGAGCTATCGGTAAAAGGTGTGGTCTCTCGCTCAAATTAGTTCATTAGCTCTAGGAAACCAGATTTATGCCTATATTGTTTCAAGGAGCCCTTGTGTGGTGAAACTCACTAGAGAAGGCTACACTAGTAAAACAGAAGTTAGCGGAGCATTAGGAACCACACCCACACTGGCGCTTAACATACACATGTTGAGAACGGTACCTGCGGATATTGCAGACAGGACTGTCGTAACATGAACTGCTATTAGGCTAAGGGAAACCGGGTCCTTTTGTAACATAAACAAGGAAAAGAAGACGGTTCGTTGCTGCAGAAAATATTTTTATAGGGCACTTTAAATACGTTATCTCTCAAGGGCTAGTGATGGGGGTTCTGACAGGACATTGTGAGAATACTGAGACTGATCCTTTCGTATCAGCTGTCAAGAGGAAGATGGGTTGGAATCATCTCCACACTTTCTTTAAGACTGCCGAACCTTCGTCAGGCTAAGATGGAAGCATTTTGGCTCGCACTTCTGAACAAACACTGAGCTCTCATGGATCGAAATTAGCCGCATTCGAAATTTCGTAACCGCCTCGCAGCGTTAACATAGCCCAACCTAACCTGTACTTCTTTGAAATAGTTGGTCACATTATGTATATACATACATATAAGCGAGTCATTTCAGCATGCTACTGCCCAGCCAGCAAAAAATCCGAAAACCGATCCGGAAAAGGACAAAAAACTGCATGAAGTGCGGATTTTTGTCAGTTTACTGATTCCATTTCCGGATACTTTGACGATCCGTTTTCCCACTAAAGTGTGCGGCAGAAACGTATGTACAGACAACAGTATGTGAAACGGATACGTTTACGGCTGTTTTTTCTGAAATTTCTCTGATTGAATTTTTCGTTTAATACGCTTTCTTTCTGCACTTCACAGATACTTTTTCATGGTTCAAAAGAAATAAAATAAAATTAGGAAGCGCCTGACGGAATTCGGCACCTTCTGGAAGCTAACAAATAGCGGCGCACTCTGCACGCTCAGCCACTTCCAACTACACAGGCATGCTTTCAAATGTTTAGCTTGAGCAAATAAAATACAATTATTGCTTAAAATGACATCATCTTTTTCAAATGTTTCGAACGTTTTCCGGATATGAAAATTGATGATAACTGTAGGAGTTTTTCTATTCGTTTACGGATACGGAAAATTGAACTAAACTGCACTGTCGGCAAAATTTACATTTCTTTGCTGGCTGGGTGTGGCTGCTTTCGTCATTCGCGCGCACTACCGTGCGCTGTGATATTTTGCTGAATTAAAAAAAAAAAAACTTTGAAATAAAAAATAAACAACTAAAAATGTGTATTTTCAAAAATTATTGAAAATTTCACTTCTTTCGACTGTGGTCGCTAGTAACAGTAATAATCTTTATTTAAATCTGCACAAGTTATATATTTTTGTAAAGGGCACATAAATACCTTTCGAACGTTTGCTTGCTAGCTGATATTTTCAAGAGAAATTTACTAATAACTGCGAAAATTATCTGCCAAAAAACATTTTCAACATTTTTCAAAAAAATACCTAAAACGCTTCATAAAAAAAGGGTATTGTTTTCATGTTCAGGGACCCAAAATAAGCTTAGAAAGCATTATTTTTCTTAGGTTAACGCGATTACGATACAATTTGTCGACTACGTAGTGTTATTAAACATGCGACATATAAAAGATACATCGAATTTACAATCACATACCTTTATTTGACAAGCCGCTGCGTGAACCGGTTGTTTACCACTAACGATTGGGTGGTTGCTATTAGTGTTGTGGTTTGGTGTTAGACTACCCGATATGCCCGGGGACATTGTAAGGCCAATCGGCGAAGACGCATTGGCTGTTCCATTTGCTGATATTGCCGATGCAACTGAAGAAGATGCTGAAGCCGTACCGGTAACTGCTGCTCCCGTAGTATTGGTTGATTCTATGTATGTTTCAATCTGTAGTCTAAATGGTACACCTTTTTCACCGCCATGTTTTTTTGGTGTAAACTCGGTTGAAATGCAATTCACTTTAACATATACGCCAACTTCTTTCAAGGGATCCCAAAAAATCTCAACGGTATTCAAAAAATTTGGATTTAAAGGTTGCGATACGTGACATAAGCCGTATGAAAGTGGAACGTCAACTTCAATTATTCGCTCGCCAGGACGTGAAGCTTGCCATTGTTGCATTTGTTCGCGCTCCATAAACTGTAGGCGACGCTCATGGAAACAGATCTTGATGACACTCTGAACAAAAATTCATTAAGGAAAAATGCTCAATAAGTGAAAAGGTCAGTGCTTATACTACATACTATAATATTTGGAAATAGTTGTAATGTTACGTATTTGTAATTTATTATCTGTGCATTTTGTATGTACATACTGTTACTCCCAAAATTAGGCGTTCGGCTCTGTTTTGTTGATATTCGCAATGTTTTACATGCTAAAAATTTGTTGTTAATTTTGTATTAAAATATGGCTTATATTTTAGCAAACTCCATTTAAATCTAAGAATAATACTGTGTACAAAAATCAAGAAAGTGTTTGCAAAATCGCGAACTTTTTAATATGAATTTCTAAAAAGAATTCAGCAATGCGTTTTTATATTATAGCCCATTAAATTTTAGTATAATAATATGCAAATTTCAAAAGTCTAAAAAATTGCGTTGATTTTTGAGAATTTTTCGCTGACTGTCCTACGCATTTTTTCCATATACAAGATTTTCAGAGTTTTTTTTATATGAAAAAAATGCGTAGGATAGTCAATTTTCAGAATTTTTTATATGAAAAAATGCGTAGGATAGCCAGCAAAAAAATTAAAAAAATCAACGCGAATTTTTAGACATTTGGAATTTGCACATTATTAATGGGCTATAAAACTGCATTCCTGAATTCTTTTTAGAAATTCGTATTAAAAAAAGAGATATATACCATGGCTGAAATTAAAGATTTTGAATAGCACTACAACGTACTTGTTGTCAAGTGGTATGATATGTGAGAAGGATGCACAGCTGCATGCAAATCATAACCCTGTAGTCAAATGTACTAGTTGTAAACTACCTCTCAACTAGTATGAACCGCATGCCCAACTAGTCAGCCAACTATCTTTTTTCCAGGCAATCAACTGGTATTTTTAACATGGGGATGTTCTACGAGATGGCAATTGTCAGATTTCGGTCAGAAATATACCAGTCTTATACTAGTTCAAAATAGGCAGAAAAATACTAGTCCGATTATGGACCAAAACCACTACTTTGGAAGTAAAAAAATAAAATGAATTCATAAATATACAATAAACCACTTTTGATTAAGTACACTTTAATACATTACACGTTTTTATTTAGCAGCCTTAGATTTAAATTTTTTGAGTATTAATTAAAAGGAAAAATAAATATATAAAAATTTCAAATTTAAATGCATTTTCCATTAAACAATATTAAAAGTAAAAGCTTTCAGCTACAATAAATACTATATTTTTATCTTTTTTAATAATATTGAATATGGAAAAGAAAACATTCTAGTTAAAAATAAAACGAATACTTTAGTTTATTTTTAAGTGAATTAAAATTAAAATAACAGTTTTCATTGAAATAAATTAAATTTATTAACTTTGCACATTTCAGTCCTTGTCTTAAATTTTTTTAAAGTAATAATTAATGTTTAAAATTTGAGATTTGGATAAGAACAAAATAAATAAATAATTCATGCAGTTATTAAATATTCTTAATATTTTCTATACTTTGGCTTTTTGATTAATGATTGAAATTAATCAAATAATTATATTAATCGTGTAATTAAAAGTCAAAAATAATTGAAAATGATCAAAAATAACAAAATAATGATGCAATTAAAATTAACGAATTAATTAAAAAATTGTGTTTAAGTTATTTATTATTAATCACTAAAAAGGTGCTACTATCGATATTTAATCATTAAACGGTTATCCAAATATTATGTGTTCTCTATTGTATTAAACTGTCGAAGTCAAATAAAACAGGGCATGAATAAATCGTTTTGTACTTGGTACAAGTCTGGTCATTTTCGAACTTGTTCGGGTTCAGTAAGGAAATTCTAGTTGTAAACTAGTATTTTTCCTGACTAGTTTGGGGTTTCACTGCAGGGAACAAATGCAATAAATGGCAATGACAGTTAGAGCTGCCAAATATCTCTGTTGCCAAACGGGGACACTTTAGGAGAGGAAGGGGGGAAGGGGAGCTATCGCTCCCCTCCCTTTCGTTTCTACAAAACTTACGTGCGAAAGGATGTAGTAAAATTTTATTTTAACAGACAAAAACAAAAACATAAAAAACAACTTATCACAACTAAGGCACATAGTAATTTTCACAATGCACGCACCTTTTCTATTCCCCAGCAAACATTGAGGTTAGTTATCGATTAGAGACTGATTGGAGGGCTAGCCACATTCTCCAATCTCAAACGTTAGAGAACGACTCGAAAAACTATCGAGAATCATAGCGATCTCAACAAAAATGGGACATAGTTCTCGACTCGAGAAAATATTAATTCTCTAATCGTATTCCAATGTTGATCTCTAATGGGATTCGAATGTGAATTTCAAACTGCTGTTTTGCCTTGCTTTGTTTGTAAAATTTGTATTAAATGTATTTGCAATAAAATAATAATGAATTATTTGAACTTAAAAATAATTTATGAGTAATTCATTTGGAATATTGTTTATTTACATTTATTTGAATTCGCGCTGTTTCTCTAATCGTTCTCGAATCGAATTCTAATGTAATTCTCTAATTTTGTCATCGGCTCGAGAACGATTAGAGAATTACCCTAGTTATCTCATGTAGAAATCCAAATTTCTCTAACGTTAGAGACTGTGTTTGCTGGGTCTTTACAGTTTATACTACATGCATCAAAAAACCTAAAAAATTGAATTTCTAAACTCGCGAAAATTTAATAGAACTGCATACACATTTGTACCTTTCTAATCAGACTTTTTATAAAAATTTTTAAAATGAAGTTTTGCGGCCTATTAAATTTTAGTAAATTTTTGGTATTATTTTTACTGAGACAATCCTTTTTATATAGAGCAAAAAAAAGAAATAAATAAAAAATTCTAAATATGGCTCAAAAGCAACATTTTCAAAATTTTTCTAAAGGATTTGATTGGAAATTTTGATCTGGTGAAAGAGCCACCGAGCCAATAATTTTGTACGGAGCTGTTAAGTACTCTAGGTTCCATGAAAGAAAAAAAATTTACAAAAAGGTACAAGATAACACTAAAATTAAAATTTTCGCTGCTGTGAACTTGCTTCAAAACTTCTGTCTTTTCCTTAATACATATATTTAATTGTAAAACTCTGCGCATTTTGTATGTACATACGTATTTAGGTGCATATATTAATCAACTATTTTGCTTGTGGAAAGTTCAACTATCTGGAGATGTAACTATTTCACAAATGAAACCGGTGCACTGAAAGAAATAAGTTTAGAATCAGCGTTCGGACTACTGAAACTCGATTCGGGAGTAAATGACTCGAAAAATCGGTGTAAAAACGAAATTTTCGGAGCAGATTAACATTCTAAATAGTATAAGAAAAAATTGGTTTCGTTCCTCAACTTTTCTGAATAAAACCTCTTAAACTGTCGAAAAGCTAAATTGCTCACAGAGAAAAAGAGAAAAACCCAAAATTACGGGAACGCTTTTCTGGTAAAAGCTGGTAAAACTGTCAAAAATACCGTGGATGCCATTTTTTGTTTACATAGCAGTTTTTTGTCATTTGGCGATTTGCTAAATTATACGCAAATACAGCATATCATAAGCAAACGTAAGCAAAAATTATTTAGGTTAAATTTTGCAGCTTCTGACAAAGAGATTACCGTTTTTACTCTCCCATTTTTCCCCTACTTTGCCAGTAGTTTTTCCATAAACTAAAATATAATGTTAAAAAAAAACGTAAATTATCGGACGGCGTATAAATTTTTGACCTTTTGTTAATAAGAGTTCTTGCGAACATTAAGCTTTAAATTTCGACATTAAGCCTGTTCCAGTATTTATTTTTAATGAGATTCATCTTCGAAAATTTTCTTTCGGCAGCAGCACTACTGTGCGGTAAAATACTCTGCCAAATTTCTAAACATACACCTTTCCAAAACATTTTTCTGGTCAATCCCTTGCTTTGGAAAATAAAAAAAAAGAGTTTAAAGAGTAAAAGAGATAACTTCTGTTACACCTTTCTATACAAAATCTTGGTGCCACAGAAGTTATTGAAGAAAAATTTTAAAAGTTAATTATTTTGTAATATATTCCTAATGTGAATGGAAAAAAGTAAAAAACAAAATCCGAGCATATTTTAGGTCACGTGGACTAGGGAGTAGATTTTAAATTAAAAAAAAGAAATCGGCGTACATCTACTCCGATCAGAGCAAAGTCCGGACGATGTTTACTACAACTAAGAAAGCGTACTATATTTAAAAAAAATGTTTACTACAACTAAGAAAGCGTACTATATTTAAAAAAAATGCGCATATAGAAGAGCACCAACCCAACTCGTAATACATTTAAGTACACAAATTTTAGTATTTAGTTTAGAAATATTCAATTCAATTCATTCAAATGAAGCGCTTTGCACTTACCGATTGCTTTTACATAATTAAGTTAAAAAAATATTTAAATCCAATGCTGCCTGTAATGGGATTTGAACCCTGACCCCCTTGAAATTGGCAAATTATGGCAATGCATCTTTGCGCACACAGCTACAGCCAGACATGTAAATGTGTATTCAAATGTTATGTTTGAATCAACACCACGCGTGCGTGGTAGGAAAGTATAATTTTTAAATACGAACAGTTTAAAACGATAATCAAATAGAAAATATTCATTTTTACTATACGTTATTTCCCTCAGTGAATTCATAAAATTTTTCTGAATATTACAACGCGTTTTTTCTCTTAGTGTAGTGAGTTTTGAACTTTTATTCAAGTTCGTGCAATCAAATCGAAAACCGGGACATTTAAGGTTGAACCGGGACAAATAGTCTAAAGCCGGGACATGTCCTAGAAAACCGGGACGTCTGGCAGCCGAATAATAACGAGCCTGAGGTATCTTCCCCTACCCCCATTGAAGTGGTGGCATCGTCTTCAAAGCCTCCACCGCCTTCCCTATTCTCAACTAGTAACGCAGTAACTCAACCTCTTCCGCCGGTACTCCAGTCTGATACAAGGAAACTAGTTGTGGTTCCGCCAAAGAAGTCAATCTTTGTCTCTAGATTTTC